ACAGAAATTGCCTTGAAACTGAAGGTATAGGCAGTATTGGGCCACTGCCTATGAGTGGTGCTGCGAATAGTGCTCAGGTACTAAAACTGTTCAGAAACAATCTTAAACCTTTGGCCATATTTTCTGACCTTACATTTTTATTTTAATAAATACATGGACCTAGACAACAGAAAGTAATTTCTTCAATGTTATATACATATTGATACTATAAAATAAAATATGTCATTCTTGAATCTCCTTAATCAAGATTAATTGGTAATTGCATAAGGAGTTATTAAAATAGAGGAAAATGTTCCAGTAAATGAGTAAAGAATCACTTGGGAACCGTGTAATTTCATCTCTGTGCAATTGAACAGCTAACTAAAATGTCTTGTGTCAGGACTGCTACCTTCTGCTGTTTGATCGATTATATGAGCTTTTATAAGAGTTTGTGAGTTTGGTAGCTAATATCATGATACATTTGATCACCTATAAAAGATTACTTCATTTTGTATTTCACAGACATAAAACTTTGAATACATGTGAAACTTAGGTTTTCAAGCTATTGAGAAAAAATGTAATTTACCCAAATATTCACTGTAAAATGAATCCCATTTCTTGTCATTAAACATCTAGAACAAAAAAGTCAAAATAAAGCATACATATCATATGTTTTACTGTCTCTGTGAATGTCATTTGGCCACCTAATCTTGACAAAATTATAGGTACATAAGAGGGAGGGAGTAAAAGTCCTCCACTGGACTTTTCAATTGTGTATCTGGAGAGAAGGGAAGACTGTACAGAAAAGGGATCTGGAGCAGCTTGGCTATCAGCTCCCCACAGGCAGCAACAGCATCTGACAAAAGAACATCAAACTTGGATTCCTGTAGTTTTGATATGAGCTGTTTGTTTGAAACGTCTTTACAAAGACTTTGATAATAATCAGAAAATTCATCAATCATATTTTGCAGTAAAGGAGAATATGACAAAGACATATCTATTAGCATCTCAGAAGTTCAAACATCCACAAGCTTTATGAAACAATATTCCACGTCATCTTTCACTGACAGATGTAGGAGACGTTTCAAAGTTAAACCCAGGTGGATTTTTGGGATCAAGAACATAGTAAGCTGAAGATTTCAGAACAGTGACTTCATGGCCTCTCTGAACAATTTCATCCAGTATTATCTTTATGTTCATCCAGTGACTGAATTCCATCGGTCATACCAACACCTTCCCGCAGTTCACAGATCTGAAACAGCAACCCATCTGCAACAGGAGCAGAGCAGAAACCCACTTTCCAGTCATCCTGGAAATCAGAGTCCTTCTGTTCACAGTGTGTTCCCTTCTGACCAGTGCTTGACCTTTTATCCGAGAAGCTTTAGCCCACAGGTTAAAATACAACTTGCATTGCTCAAAGCTGATAGGTAAATGACCGTTACTATGATGATAGGAGAAAAAAGAGAAGAACTATTTAAATTATGATGTTTACACAAGAGTGTTTAATGTCTCTTTTATGATTGAGTGTTTTCAATAACCCAATAATTAATGACTTCATGATCAATTATTAATGGTATAGAGATAGTGGAATATGCTAAAATGTCTCACAAAACTAGTGACGTCATAAGATGGCTGAACTCTGAATTCTCTATATGGAATTGAAAGCTTATTAGTTTACATAGTTGATCAACATTGAAATTTTTTTATCTGTGTTGATCAATATAGTTATGTAATCCATTCTACAATATAAGTGTATGACAAATATTTTGTGGTAAGCTTGCAGTAAACCATAAACAACCTGATGACAAGTTTGTAAGAATTGCATGCGACATAGTTTCCTCACTCAGTTCTCCCTTCAGCAAAGTCACAAAACCTGGAAATATAAAGCAGATATTCCACTGGCCTCTTCCATAAAGGGCCAAAGTAAAACGGGATATGTTGAGATTCCACAACATAGATGTGAGGCTAGAATTCTCTCAACATTGAAGAGCTGTTCCACATACAAATCCCAGTAGAAATGACTGTATGCTCAAAACCTGCCCAAGATTGCAGACCATAATCTTAGGATGGATAAGAGACACATGAGTTCCCATTTCTACCTGAGGAGTTACTGGCATTTGGAGGCTGCTATAAATGAAGTCAAGAGCTTCAGAATGAGAAGGCTAACCATGATTCAGGAAATGGCTTTATACTATTGTGGTAAATAGTTAATAGGAAATTTATACCTACCCTTGATCATTCAGTTCCCATATAAAAGATACAAATCTTTATAAATATAATCAACCTCAACAGCACTAGAGCTGGGTAGATATCAACCCTCTATTCTACTTTGTCTCCATCTCTGTTAACATCCCTGAATTATAACTTTCTCTTTGGGCTGCTTCTACTCCAAGTGGTCACTACTCATGATCAAGTTCTCATGGTTCAACTACCCCATAGCATCTTCTCCTCTCCTCTCCTCTCCTCTCCTCTCCTCTCCTCTCCTCTCCTCT